AACGGCGGGAGGTGACATGACACCAGTTTTCAGGTACCTAAATGGGCGTTATAAGAATAAGGGAAAAGATAACTGCTAGATAACACTAATGACTATTGCGAAGGGACACTCTCAGAGGAGAGACAGAGTTGTTCCAACGCCGCCACGGACGGTAAGAAGGAACTGGAGGGGTCGGGTCGGCAGGGATATATATACCCTGGAGCGGGGCGCCGCTCTGGCGGGAAGGAGGGGGCCCTGCCGGCCCGACGGGAGCCGCTAAGGGAAAAAGTTTCCGACGTCCGTGCACGCGGCGCGCGTACACCTAATGTGTAATGGACGTGAACAATCACTCGAAGAAGAATAACAGATTAGTGCAAATGTTCTGAGAAATGTCTTGGTGGAACTAAGAGAAAAAGCTTTTAGTAGATTTCAAAACTAATAATTGCCCTTAAGTTTTAGCTGCTAAATCTGACTAAATCAAGTACAGGCATTTTAAAATACATTTTTCTAATACAAACTATGTGTGTGACTTCAAAAGGCACAATATAAAGGATTTTTTATAACTTGCAAGGTTAAATCCACTGGCAGAGAAACTGATTACTTGTTTGGACACATACTTACCTGGCCTGTTCCAGTCTGTCGAGAAAATATTCAAAGACATTATTCATTACAACAACATCAGCATTTTGAAGGAGTGAAGCCTGAGTACAGATGTCTGAATGAAGCACCTGAAGGACAAATAATTGTACATACGTAAAAGTTAACTTATAAGAAGATGCACAGCTTTCTAATAGACATAGTCTGTACATAGAGCACAGTATACAATTCATACAATTTATATTAAGTAACATAGAAATGAACTCACTAGTGTGAGTGTTAAAGAAGCCAGATTTATTTCCTCAGTAATTACAGTACTTAATCCATTATGTATATTAAATAAAAATATATTACATCTATTTTTGATCTTGATCATTGAATGCCACAATAGAAGATTTAGGAAATTACTATTATATTTTAGTTACCTGTGCTTTATCATCATGAACGCTTATTAATTTTAGTAAAGGATTTAATCCAGCTAAAGCTTTTTATGATGCTATTAAAATGCACTTTAAGGGCTGAGCTGGTTGTTTAGTGATTAAGGCTCAGACTGTCCATGAAGACCCAAGTTTGGTTATTGTATTCTCCTTCCACATACTGGGAGTAATGGAGATGCGATGTGCTCAGCCTTCAGAGGGAGAACTGCAGAGACAGAGTGCCTCATATTATTAAACAAGTACTTCTCCAGTCAGTATAGGAGCTCTTCTTGAACATCAGCATCCTGTCCAGTCTTCCTCAGCCAAAACAATGGTAGCAGAAAATGGAGTTGTGGGGCAGCTGATGATGATGATAACATAGGGGGAATTTGGAGGCTCATCAAAACTCTAACAGGAAGTTGGAGGACTTTCCTCCTAACCCAGAAAAATAAATCTTAAATTTCTGAGGCTTGGTCTACACTACCCCCCCTAATTCGAACTAAGGTACGCAACTTCAGCTACGTGAATAACGTAGCTG